AATCCAGCCTCACAGAATCTCCAAACACAAGAGCTGAACATAGAAAAAAATCTGTGCACCTTTCTGACTTTGTAGGTTATCATCGCCACGTCACTTCTAGTGATCCTCACTTCCAGTGTGGAGGCTCCTTAACTACCATCTAAAGTAAAGTAAATTACAAAGTAATATGTAAACCGAGAAAAAACAGAAAACTCAAACCCAAAGTAGATTCAAATATTAATACCACCACCCCCACCCTTTTATAAATAAACAGCAGACACAGAACAAAAAAAGAAACAAAAAAAGTCATCGCAACATGCAAAGAATATTTTCTTTAAACAAATCGGCTTTTTTCAAAAGATTTCAGTTTGCTTAATAGCATCTCTGATCAAAGCCATTAACTTAGTCTGGTTGACAGCAAGATTACAGGAAGCTATATTTAGGTCAAAAATAAATAAATAAATAAATAAATAAATAAATAAATAAGATTAAATGCACATTTATTATGACTTCATGAAAAAAAAGTGTACACAATAATAATTCACTAGGTTGGCTCAAATGAGCTATTGTAACCTGGTTCAGTCCAGCAGGCTGGTTATTTTTTCAAAGGAAAGAGTGTCCTTTTAACAGCTAGGCAACTCCCTCACACTGCAACTAAATTAACCTCTCATGATGCACTAATACCAAATTTCTTTCACAGCTTGTTTCCTCACTAACTTAAAATTGTGTCTTTCCCAATTAGAGCATCACGCCTGTGTGTCTACTAAATAACCTTCAGTAAGCCTTGAGTCATATTAAATCATGGTTGCTCATTTGCAGATAAAATTAGCAGCCTAAAATGAACACAGACAACATAGTGCATGTAATGTGTCACTTATCCCTCTGGGAAAACAGTTGTTACTGGTTTGTTGTGAGTTACCAGAAGAAGACCAAAAAAAAAAAAAAAGTCATTTTAATAATGACAATCTTTTCAGGAATGTAGTTTTATAACATGAGATCTGACACTTCAAAGAGATGGTAGAGTGTGCAGATGTAAAGTCTTGATTGGCAGTACCTTGTCAACTGTGCAACCAGTAAAACCGTCAAATTTGGGGTAATAATTGTAGCGCAGAAATGTTTTTTTATAACTGAAAATAATGTAAATTCGCCATGACATTTGATCCTGTGATTTCTTTGAGATAGTGGCAGGCGGTTATCACCACTTATCTCAAAGTATTCTTTCATATTCCCTTCAAAGACCAGTATCAGCTTTTACAAGAAAGAGGAGAGACTGAAAACTAGATTTTGGTGTGTGGGCTCGTGTGTCCTGAACAGAACCTGAGACAGGAAGCAAAACACATAAAGACATGTGAAACTAGTGTGCCAGACAGAGAGAAAGCCTAGAGGAAATGTACAGAGTGGCAGAGAGAAGCACAGAGTTTTAGACAGGGCAATAGAGGCAAACACACACAGACACACACCCAGGGTAGGCCACAGTGCCATCAAACCCTGTTGTTTAGTCTTGTACTGCCATCTACTGTGGACAGCAGTCAGTTCATTCAGGTTAATGAGTTATTTCAGTGAATATTTATTAACTAAGTGACTTGCTACACACTAATCACGTGCTATAATGTCAGTGTAATGCAATTCTGTGATTCTTTAAACACCACCACCTTTAAGTCCACCTCTAATAATGAACAAGTTACACATTAGTTGGAGATACAAAACTCTTGACTATCATTACCTGCATAATGACATTGACATCTAGATAAAATGTTTTTCTGATGCACATTTAGTGCAAAGGTTTATAAAGAAAAAAAAAAGGCATTACATTTGCTTTTGAGAAACTCAGATTTTAGTTTTGATTTGAACGCACTGAGAATATAGTGTATACAGTCTATTTAAGACCCATTACTGTTACTGTTCATCACTGGGATTATCTGGAAGTAAAAGTTGTGTGTGCTAGGAGTGAAACTTCATGTGTCTTTGGTACACTTTTAATGTGAAGTAGCACTGGGTTGTTTTGATCATCATCATAAAATTTTGTTCACTTGCTTCTTCAAAATAAATTAATATAATGGTAATGGTGTCATATTTTACCCTGTGGTCCATTCGAGTTTAGAGGTTGAGCTACATTAAATTTTTATTCTCACAGCTGCTAATGGCTGCCCAGTCTAATCATAAAACCTACTGATTTGTGACAAGGCTTCTGATCTGAGCAGTTTCATCACATACAAAGTAATATCATGTTAGGAGATAAATAAACCAGCTTTTTGTCACTTCAGCCCAGAGTTTGTGGCAAAGTTTCTGAGCAGTTTTTTGTTACAACAGTATATTCTGCTGCTCCCAGTTAAAGACGTTACTCACATTCAGGCTCGTGTTTTCACGATTTTTCTCTGGTTTGATGCGCTAAGCTTCTGCTCTCAACCAAATCCTGCCATCTAGTGGATGAACAGCAGCATAACCACAGCCTAGATAACAGTATGTTGCTGGTCTTGGTAAATTGTATTCTTCGTACTAGTGTTATGAGCAGTATCACAGCCCTAAAAGATGTTTTTGCTACAATAGTATGCTTTGTTCTCGCTCTCCAAGACTTTGGTACCATCCTCCTCTGGAGATTAGCAGTTAGTTTAAGAAGGGGTTAAGATCAGGAAGAGCAGTGCCCCAGTGTCAGAATTGCTTTATTTTTACAATGTTTGAGCTCCATGATGATCTTTTTTCTTGCTTTTCTTCTTGGATCACTATTTTATTTAACTAGTTTATCTTCTATCTTTTTGAACTAGCAGATACTTTAGCAGCTGAATGTAGCCAGTAGTAGTGTAGTGTGGTCACCCATTGCTTTTTGGATTCTGCATTTTGAGGCCTGAACATTAGCATTTTGGCCACTACCGCGTTTTCTGTTTTGCTTTGTTTTTGGCTTGATTTGTAACCAGAAGTTGCTATATTTAGAAGAGAGGCTGGCATGATCAGCTAACAGCAACTGCATTCATAAACTGTACAGTGGGTCAAACATATTATTGTTAAATGTTCAAATTCAAAAATTCAAATTTTAGTTGTCACGTACACAGTCATACACAGTACGATATGTAGTGAAATGCTTGGACAACTGCTCGTGACCTAAAGAAAACAAAAAAGGAAAGGCTATGAATAAGATAGGAAATAAATATGAAAAATTAAAAAGGGTAAATTTAACTAGGAAGGAATAAAATATAAATTAAGGTTAAAAATGAAATAACTGTACAACACAAATTAGAATGAAGGGTAAATTTAACTGGGAGAATAAGATAAAATATATAAATTAAAGTTGAAAATAAAATAACTGTACAACAAAATACACAATACACAATATAGAACTATATAAGAATGTATGAAGAAATCTAAATATAAATAAATATATACACAATAACAGCAGCTGTACAAGTATTAACCGGAAATGAAGAATATAGTGACCAGTGTTGTGCAAAAACAAAGTCCAGAAAGTCCAGTGTGTGTGTAAGAACCATATGTGTGGGTCAGTACTGTGTGGTGGTGTGATTGAGAGACCGTATCGCCTGCGGGAGGAAGCTCCTCCTCAGTCTCTCTGTGTTGGTCTTCAGGGAGCGGAATCGCTTTCCTGACCTCAACAGAGAGAACAGTCTGTTGTTCAGAACACACCCCTAGTGTTTGATAAAACACTAGAATTTCATTAACTAAAACTAAAGCACAAATTTACTAGATGCCCTATACTACACAGCAAGTGTTAAAGGGTTCTATTAAGAATATTTCATAATGCAGGCACAGTGGAGAGGTCCAGTTCAGTGCGCAGAAGTGAGGCCTAGCCGGCAATGATGAGCTTCAGCTGCCTGTGTCATGGAATCTGTCAGTCAAAGTAGCCAAGCCCCCAATTCCAAGTAACCAAATGGATAACTAATGAAAACAAATAAATAAATAATTATAAAAATCACCCCTTGTTGAATTTTAATAAAGGGGGAAACTATAGTGGTCAAAAGCATATTTTTTACCAACCTGTAAAAATACCATTACCTAAAGTTGGGCCTTTTTAAATTTTATTTATTTTTCCACCCTTATACTTTTATTTTTTTTAAGTTACTTCACATTTTACAGACACTTACTTGGAAATGTAGCACACTTAAAGAAAAGAAATTGAAGAACAAAATAAAATAATGTTCAGGGGTTTGTAATATTGTCTCCAGTTATAAAAAAAAAAAAAAAACAATATGCAATTTCCACTTTTTGTTAAATTAATCATACCTTTTGTTGAATTTTAACAAGTCCTGCTAGAAAAGGACCAACTGAAAATCATGATTAATCTGTCTAGACTGCTCTACCAATATGCAAATCAATACAATGAAAAGCCCAAAGTAACAAAAAACTTAGTGTGATTTTGAAAATTCTAAGTGCATACTCACATGTATACTTAAAAAGTTTTTCAAAGGAAAAAAGCAGTAATGAAAATCACTTCACAAAAATTAAATAAATTGCCTCGTCAAAAGTCAGTGGTTCGGTCATAAAATAAAACTGCTCTGAGTCATTTTTAACAAAATAAAATTCACCTTAAGAAGGAGGAAAACTTTTTTGTAACGTTTAATACTGGTCAATCGGAAGCGCACTGCTTCATGTAAGCTAGCAGTGTAGTGGGTATAGTGTGTGTCTGTCTGCTAGAGTGTGTATTACCGCTTAGCAGCATGTGTGGACATGCTTCTCATTCCACCAGTGACAGCTATCAGCTGTCCTCCTGTTGGCCTTCCCGTCTCTGTCTCCTAAAGTGTTAGCATGTTTGTCTTCACTGATTTAAGCCGAGCTTTCTTTATCTCTCACTGTTCTTTGCTACTCTGTTTCATTGACAGAGCCTGTGTTGGGTTCAGTGAGAGAAAATGATGATTGTGCTGATTTGTGTATATTCAATTTACAGACACACACACACACACACACACACACACACACACACACACACACACACACACACAGTCCCAGCTGTCTCCTCTGCATGACACGTGCTGAGAGGTCGGGATGTTGTTGGGTGGGGGAAGTAGAGTTGACCATAAGAAACATGAGCTCACATACTGGATGATCCCCTTCCCACTACTCACTTCAGCTTTAAGGTGACTGCTACAGCTTTAGTGCATGTTTCTGTGTCTATGTAAAGTTAGCATACAGGTTAGATTTGGTTCTGACCTGATAACGAGTCAACAACACATTACCAAACGGATGCCGTGGATTTCTAAGCCGTTTCTTTAAACATCTGGTGGAAATATGAATGTTCCAAAGGTCCACCTCTTACTGACATGCATCCTCTGTGTATGTTCTGGTAAGTAGTCCTCAGTATGTGTTGATATTTCAATCTTATCGGTTATGTTTTAGTTTGCTGTAACAGTGCTGGTTCGAAACAGATAAAGAAGAAAGAAAAAGAAATATATTATTTAGAAAATCAGAGATTAGAAATGGTTAATTACAAAGTACTTTCCATGCTGTGAAATTTTAGTCTTCTGTAAATTATGTTCTATAGGACCAGTCTCAAGAAACAGGACATCACTTTGTGACCAAAAATAAACACGTTAAGCAACGTTAATAACATTTTAAACAACCACAGAGGAGCAGCTGATTTTGGCAAATCCATTATACTGAAATCAAAGGGCTTCATCACATCGATGAAAAGCATAAAAATAAATCCAAATAAAAATTTCGAAGCATCATAATCATAATCATAAGATTGAATCCCCTGGGAAACAACTGGCACAATGAGAGATAGGTGTTTGCTACTTCTGAAAAACCCTTTACAAAGGAGCAATGTCTAAAAAGAAAGAAAAAAAGTCTCTGGTAATTGTGCTTTTTATGTATATGTGAAGACCATCTCTTTAGAGTTTACAGCTGCTGTATCGTGTTTTCACTGTGATGGTATTCAGTCTTTTGTTTTACTTGTAAATCATTTTTAAAATGACGCTGTGGTTTCATCTGTCCTTGAAATGTCCCATACCCACAAAAAAAGTCTCTCGAGCATTATTAACATTCCTTTTGCATTCAATACTGTGCATTTATCATTGAGCAGGTATGCATTTAGTGCCTTTGCCCAAGGACATTTAATTGTGACACATAGTTGTTAATCAACACACTGTTTCTTGGTGTACTTAAAACTGTGACCTTTCAAGTACTAGATAGTTAAATAACCACAACTTCAGTACCAGAATACCAAAAACCTCAGAGTCTTATATTCTCTGCATTTTCGAATAAATTCCTGCAAGGTCCATGAGGTTTATGCTACTATTTTTCCCATGGAGTATGGTACTTTTCATCACCTCATCCCATACAAATGAATGCACAGTACACATATCATTTACTCATGTCATATACTGTTTTGAAAGGAAGATGAAAGATGCTCTGGTTCCATTTAGTATCAAATTACCTCAGCCACTTTTATCTCAAAGAACTTATAATAAGATTAACTGTACATGAAATCAGTCAAGGAGAACAAACACAAACATGTCCTCTGTATTGATGATACATAAAAATAGCACTTCAGAGTTTGTTTAAAAAAATTTAAAAAATTAAAAAAAAACCTAAGGATTTAATATTTAGCAGATAATATGTACAAATGTATCCAAGACTAGAACATAAGGCTAGTGTATGTGCAACTGGAATAAATAAAATTAATTTATTCTGAAGTTTCTTTCAATCTCTTGAAAATAGGGCTGTGCAAGATCATCCACCATATCACTAATAGCAATTTCTACACTATGTAAAGGTTTTGTATTGCAATATCATTGCTAGAGAACTGCCATGTTTTTATGTTCCTTGGTGTGTACAAACAGGGGACAAGCCCAGATATGAGAGGGCAACAGCTAGGACAATTTATTAGATTCCAAAGAAAAAAAAAAAAGAAAAAAAAAAAAGCTGCTTCAACAACCTCCAACAAAGCAGTGTACTTTGCAAAATATGGAAGAAACTTGGAAAACAGGAAAAGCAAATGGTGGATGGAAATTACTGATGTGGTTATATGGAGGGAAAGTAGAGCTTTAAGCAGCTGGGACACAATATCCAAGTCAGAAAATACTTTTCAGTTTATTATGTGACAATATTGCACAGGTTCCAAACACATATTGCCAAATGGCGACTATTGCACTGCTGCTACTGCTGGCACCTTGTTTCAATGCATTCCTACTTCAAATTAGGTAGTGTGTCATCAATGACAGTAGCTCACTAGAAAAGAATGGAAAATGCCTTTCATTTACTTGCGAGCATCAATCAAATTGTACTTTTTTGTTTTGCTTTTTCAATATTGCCAGAAATATAATTATATTATATATAATTAAATAGAATTATAATCAATATATTATAAATAAATTAAAGTGCTGAAAACACACAACCACTGGCAGTAAGTCGTTTGTTACTTGTCCACACTGTTGGTGTCCACCACTAATCCAGGAATAACATATTTTTCTATTTCAATTCAGTGACTCATACTGATAGATTTCATGAAACACATTGATGATAAATTGATGTAAGATAGAGGTGGTATGTCAGGATGAATGGGTGTAGCATGTAAGCCACCAGTTGGATATTATCTGCATCACTACAGACGTGAAACAAAAATGGATGCTCATAAAGAATTTGAAAAGGTTTTTATTTCAAGATGTTATGAGTGCTCCTTGATTCCAATAGTGTTCCTATAGTAAGAATTAGATATTCAGATAAAAAACTATATTCTACAATGGCATATCATGTTTTAATATATAACCCTAACCCTTTGAGCAAAAACCATCTTTTTAGATTGGGCTTAAGAATTCACAAGGTACCAGAGATAAGTTGAAATATGTGTGTTTTAAAGGCTCTTGTTTGCCAAAAAGTTCTAACAATCTGTAAATTGTAAATAAAAGCAGAATATCATGACTGCAAAAAATTTACAAATATCAAATGGAAAATCTGTGATCTTAGACACCAGCTGCGTATGGTCCTGCTGGTCCACAGCTAACTGAATCTGAGATGGTAGAGTTTTCATGTTGGATTATGTCCATAGGAGAAGGAATTTTTGGAGAGGAAATGAAACATACTACTAGATTTTTTTCCATTTGTTACAAGGTAGTTAGAATATTTACAGAAAATAACCTTTTAGAGGTTTTTTGAATAATTAAGTTAATAAAGTATTGGTGTGTCATCCACACCCCAACTCAACTACCCCAATAAATTTGGCCCATTCCAGTAAGACACATGAAGAGAAGAGAAAGTGGATCCCAGTTCCTGTTATGGACACACGTAACTGTTATCATAGACACAAACATACCAGTTCAACCATATTTAACAGGATGCTCCAATTAAAGTCCACTATATGGAAGGCAAAAAATTCAAAGCAAAGCCAGGCAGACAGATGAGCTAGTTTAAAGCGTAACTGGTTACTTGAATATCTTAAAAAAAACTTGCTCAAATACAGTCACAGTAACAACGAATTATTTTCCCCAGAAGCGTTTGTCTGCACCTTCTGTGTGCTGACACTCAAACTAGTGATCTCTTTTCAAACGTTTCAAGAGCCCATATGAAACTGCATTAGACAAAAAGATTTTTATTTTGCAGCAGCATCATGTGAAAATGCAGAGTGTGGGCAATGACTGACAGCTCCAAGTGGCTCCCATGTCCCGCCTCTTCTCTATTTTTGTATGTGGTCAGATCAAAGCTTCTCAGTGCAACAGACAGATGACATGCACACAGCAACAGGCACAGCTAATGGCAGACAGCCAAGGAAATGAATATCAACATTGCAGACAACGACACCACACTCATTATACAGATCTTCGATAAAGATCCCAAATGAAACTTTGAAAGGAAACCAAAATATGCTTTTGTGTGCATGTGTGTGTACATGGTAGTGGCTTATACAGTGGGGCAAAAAAGTATTTAGTCAGCCACCAATTGTGCAAGTTCCCCCACTTAAAATGATGACAGAGGTCAGTAATTTGCACCAGAGGTACACTTCAACTGTGAGAGACAGAATGTG